TCACCCAGGCACGCCAACCACATACAGGCACGCACTCAGACCCAACACAACCCACTCAACAGGCAGGGGACTTAGTACGGCATGCATTCCACGAGCAAACTCAGAAATCAGCTGTCTGTTACAGTCCGTGTGATGACGGGTCATTACATCTCTCTCTCTCTCTCTATATATATATACTCTACTTCTCTCTCTCTTTCACTTGCAGTGTTCCTCACTCACTGTTCATCGCTCACTGTTCCTCTCTCTACAATGTCTCAGATCTACCCTGAATGCCTCTGCGGTGTGTCTCACTGTAAATGGGCGGTTACGGCCGCCAAACACTTCGTCTCCTCCCTCCTGGCTATGGTGGTCTGTTGCAGCCAGGGTGCTGGTCTTCTTACTCCCTTCAGCGTTCTTCTTCGTCCAGGTCACTAGTCCGCACAAGCTCCCAGCAGCGCTTCCACAAATTTGCGAAAATGAACAACTGACTGCCTCCGGCACTGTTGTCCAAGATATATGGTTGGACTGTTTCGGGCGTGCTTCAGTCGGCACTGGGCTCCTTCAGCCTCTGCCTTGCCAATTGCTATTTTGGGAAATTTCCCGACTTTCTTGTGAGGCTGCTGCAGCATTGTACTTTTAGGGACTTGACGTGCTCCTACCGGTACTGTAGCCTACCAACCTACGGTGTCTGATCCTACAGGACCTAAGACTCTAAACTATTGGGGCCTGGACTGTGGTAATTAGGGACCCTTGAACCGTGACTGGGAAAGCTTACAGCGTGAATCCATACAATAAAAAAGAAAATGAAGCCCCTAACATTACCGTACCCATCAGGATTTGACTTGTTGTCTTCTCTCTGTCAGCGCTGGAGTCTCTTCAGAGCTATCCTGCATCCAGCAGCCAAGGCATTTGGGAAAAAATGATGCATCCTGGGTTGTCTAGTAGATTTTGTTGATTTCGATGTTGTGCCCCCAGAAGGTACATTTTTGCAAAAGGGCTTGCTGGACGTGCTGGGGGAAAGTCAAGGGCAGGTTGCAGGGGTGCTGCGTTCGTGCACTGAAGAGGGTGACCCTCGCTCGTTTTGCAAGGAGTTTCATGCATTCAGGGCCCAAGCATAGCACCCATGGGGATTGTCTCTAATTTTTTCCCACCATCTTCAACACCATAGGTCAGGGACCAGTGATGCTATTTTTTAGCTCTGAAGATGCGAAGCTCGCTCGTTTCTCAACTAGTTTCATGCTTTCGGGGCACAAACATGGCACACCGGTGGGGCTTGTGTCATCTGGTTGTTCCTACTCCTTTAGATCAGCATTAATGATCGTACGGCGTAGGTTGTATTCGGGCGAAGACAGTAGTTGTCATTGTTATGGTGGGCTTTGTTTTTCCTTCTCAACCCTTCTGTGTCATGCTTGGTTTATGGCGAGCTTTGTTTTTCTTCTCTTCTCAACCCTTCTGTGTCATGCTCGGTTGCTTTTGTCATCCCTGTGTCAGGTGCTCAATCAGATTGTTTATGAATTACCTCCAGAGCATCCGCTGGCGGATGCTCGGCCTTTGAGAGAGCCTTTGGGTCACACTCCTCCTCAGGTAATCAGATATGAAATCCCAGCGTTTCCTTTAAAAGGGACTCATTTATGTCCACTGGAGTTCGAACTCGGGTCTGTATTTCAACAGTCCAGGTGTGGTGTGTAGGAACTGAGCTAAATCCCAGCCTTTTTCTTTCAATTCTTTGTCATTATATATGTGAAAAAACGGAACAGTTGCGAGTCTTCTGACTCGTTGGAATGCTGCTGTCTTTCGTTTGACCCTTGTGCAGTTTCTTCCATCCCCCTCCCATTATCTCCATTGGCCACCTCTCTCCAGCCTGGGCCTACTCATCCACTGTTGATCTTCATTCTTTTGTAACTGGCCACATCGTCGCCTTGGGTGCTGAACTGTATTCATCCTGGCCCTATGAATGGCGCAGTTTGCAGAGGGTACTAAGTACTAACAAGTGAAGTCAAACGGTCTTGCTGTGCAGTCCTTGCAGACAAAGGTGTAGTGTAACTGCCTTTTTTCAAGTTTTTTTTTTTTTATTTGGAAACATTGTGGTCCCTCCCCAACTCCAATCTTGCCGCCTCCGTTCTCCCGGTGTCATCCCGATGATCCGTTCACAATGGCAGACATGGTTTTCTATCTCCACGTGTTGTGGATGACTGCCTCTGCCGCTTGTTGTCGCAAAGTCAGGGAAACTGTTTGAGTAAGCGAAAACAATTGTAAAAACGAAAAACAAAAAACGGCAAAACGAAAGCAACCTGTTAAACGAGAACTAGAGAGCTTTTGATTTTTTGGGAGAGGAACATCCTCACCCTTGCTGGAGAAGCCATATGTGTATGGACTCGATGAGCGGTCAGGTCCTTGGTCAGGTGCATGTTTCAGACAGGCCATGGGATGATTTGGCAATTCTTGTGGCAGATGCTTTTGAAAACTGGTGCCCTGAAAAAGGAGCGTGCCTTGTTCAACAGAAATACACTCCGATGATATCATGGGAAGCATTTCAAAGCATTGCTGCGTGGAGGGCGGGGGGTGGACGGGGGGGCTGAGAAGGGGTGAAATACAATCTGCCGTACTGGTGGTGGGTCAAATGATCATAAAACCATTGCTGCCTGGGGGGGCAGGGGTGGACAGGGCCTGGAGAAGGGGAAAAGAGAGAAGGTGCCAGGTTCGGCTAAATATAGTATGTTGTACTGATGGTGGGGGTTTAAATGATCATAAAGAATGTGCATAAGCATGGGATGAAGCCAGAAAATGCACTGGGGCCGGCACTTACCCAGCTTCGACTGAGATAAAAAATCCGAGGCCAACTGTGCACAGTTAAACCACCAGTACCTCCACGTTTTTAGGCCATTACCGCGGTGGCGGAATCGGTGCGCCGCGTGGGTCCATGTGCACTTGCGTTAGAGCCTCCCCAGAGGGGGCCTAAGACCCCCTGGGGTACTGGTGGTTTAAACCAAGGATAGAACATTTGCACGGAAAAAGAGGTGGCCAAAAGAAGAGCGGCCGTGTGCATGTGTGTTGAGCAATGAGGGAGCAGTCGGTTGAGAAAAGGGTGACGTGGATGTGGTGTCCTTGCTGATTGCAGCATCATGGATGGCTGTGCCAAAGAGCTAGTTGGCTGTATGTACTGCTACAGGTGGAAGTAATGTCTGTTTGCTTGCCATGTTTCTCTTTTGCAGTGTCTTTTTCTCACGACTATTGTGATGTCGTGCCACTTCAACGTATGCATGTTTTATGTGTTGTGGTACGATGGATTGATTGACAATGTGGATCGTCTCTGCTCTGCGCAAAAGTTGTGAGAACTGTATTCGTCGTGTAATAATGGTGGTGAAGCGATCATCATGTGGATTGAGTAAATCAAGGCATGGCAGTCCAGCCCTTGGCGCATGTAGATCAATCTTGGCGGTGCACGCATCCTTTCGCGAGAAGCTGCGAGAATGAATGACAACGGTACGTAAGGCTTTTTTTTTTCTTTTTGTAAGGCTTGTTGTGCGATGTTTTTGCCTTTTTGTTTTGGGCGTTGTCTTGGTCAGTCTTCCTTCGTTTGCGAATGTCATCCTTGCAACAGGGCCCATGCTAATCGTCCTTTGTATCGTTTCAATTTTAACCGATATTCTGAAGGACGTCTCTGTGTCTGTCTCTTTTTCATGCTCATGGACTTTTCGCTGCCTGTCTATCAGCAATCACCCCATCTGTGTCTGTGTTCTCTCTCCCACTGATCTCTGTTTCCTCTACAGTTTATTTCAATCCTGTGGGCGTGACATCTGTTTTGAAAAAAAATTGGAAGGATACGGAGAAGATAAGCCTTATGATGGCTGTGTGATGATAGAATGTATGGAAGTTGAGAAATGATCCAAACTTAGAAAAATGAATGAAAAAGACAAGAAAGGAAGCGTGTGTGCTTGATTTGTTGTATTCTCATCACTTGCCGGGGGAAAAGGAAGTGGACTGATGCTTCCCAGAATAGAAGATATGGAGCCAGGACCATAAGGCACTGTGGTTTTTCTTTTTTCTTTTTTTTTTAAAAGAAAGGGGGTGAGGGGGGATGTGGTCTTTTCTCTGTTGTTGGCTGCACTGGGTCATGCTACTCTACTCCTGGCTTTGTGCTCCATTTCTTTGTCTGCGATGCTACTTTTCAATGTTCTTTCTCTCTTTATTAAAGTTCGTTCCATGTTCATTGCGTTGCAAATGTGGTTTGAACATATGCTTTGGGCTTTCCGGACATTTCAGTACGTCGCCGACTCGTTAATGGTTTCGTTACTTCGGTACTTCTTTTTTATTCTTCTCTTTCTAAGAAATATCCTGAATGGTTTGGCAGACGAGTGCAGTTCAACATACGTTAGTGCAGTCCGACATGGTACTTCGGGCCTTTCAATGTTGAGGTCTAGCAAGGATAAATCCCAGTAAGAGAGAGAGGTAGGCGGGTGGCCGGGGGGGCAAAATCTTTACTAATTTGCAAAGCTTATGCAGGCTTTGCCCCCCCTGTCCCCGTCCACCTCTCCCTCTTCTCTCGTCACAACAACTTCCTGAACCACCATAGCCACTGAATCAGCTGACTGGCATTCTCACTCCTCGCCTTGGCTGATGAAAACATCTTTGCGACTCGTAGTTCTTGAGTTAGTGATTTGTGTTCTTGCAAGTTTTTTGACGGCATCTGACCAGGCTGTGTGTTGTCTGTTCCTGTTGCAGGTAATGCTGGCTTCAATGGTATAAGAACCGAAATGGGCAGTGGGGGTGAGCATAAGGTGCCATTCACTACCGGTGACGACAGACATGCAGAAGAAAATGCCCTTTGCCACACCAACAGTGCAGTGCTTGGAAATATGAGATGAAAGGAATGTTAATTCAACAGCTAACCGTTCCCTTCGCAGCACAGATGGAACATGCTGAAATGTCTGACTGTTGCTGCTGCTGCTGATGATGATGATGGAGGTGATGATAACGACAATGATGATGATCATCATCATGATAGCGATGATGATGTCCAAGACATTTCTCCAGGATTATTATTCAATTCATGAAGGTATGACCTTGGGGGACGACAAGCTTGTGTATCGTTCAGGTTGACGACAAACAGGTGGTATGTGACGATCCATCAATGACACAGTCAACGCGAAACCCTGTCTCAACATTGCTTATGTGGCTGATCAGCATTCCATGTGCGGAGAGTTCTCCCGATCTGACTAATCAAGTCCAGGCAGTACTGTGATACTCGTGCACAGTACTGATCTCTCCGCTAGGGGAATTCTGGCACTAGGACGTTCTTGACTGAATCTCGGCATGATTGAGCCAAAATGCATCCAGGATAGTTCCAGAGCGAGCCGGCCGTAGTCCTGATTCTCAGCCAATGATTGATGCAACATGCAAAGTTGCAAACATGTGCCTTTTTTTTTTCTTTTCTTTTGCAGCACCTCTGTTTCCGCCTGCTTGCGACTCCTGCAGTATATTGTGCCCTCGCCGCTGCTCAGTGCTGACCACTTTCATGTTGCTGGTCAGACATTTTTACAGTGGTTCACCACTGTCAAATGTCTCTCTCCTAAGGGAGAGAGATACTGGAACTATTTTTTATTGATACTTCTATTCTGCCTGCACAAGTTGGGAGCGTGATGGAATGGGGTAGGGTGGGTAGTTCGGTCTACTATGATAAGAGCGGGGATGGTTGGCTTTGGTACATTGCACGGTTACGGAGATGGCTGTGCTTTGGGCTTTTTTTCGTTCCATATATCCACAGAAGGGCATCGACGAACACTGAAAATCAATGGTCTCCCTGGAAGCCCTTTGTGGCAAGTTTTGCATGTGCAAATAGTATTTGACATTTGTATGTGTCTGCAAACAGCAGCGGAATGTCGGAAATTCTATAACACCCTGAAAGGGGGAGAGGAGAGAGCGTATCCAGAAGCCTGTGGCGATGAGTGCCCACTTGCTGTGCACGGTGGGCACTCACTGGCTGACGATACTCGTTCAGCCATTGTTTCTTCCTCGGCTTCCGCCACTCGTATCGCCTCCAGCTTCTCTTGCTGCGCCTCACGAAGCTCTGTACGCCTCTGCTTCAGTCGTTGCTATGTTCTCAGCTTGGCTCCGTTTTCATGTCCTCCTTGTTTTTTTCTAACCTGTAGGGTTGTGCTATCCTTCCCAGTTGTGGCCCTTGAGATCGTTCAAGCTGTGTAGCATTGCCAGCATGACTTGGACCTCAGGAGTAGAGTCGATATAATACATTTTTATATACAAGCCCTTCAGTGCTAGCATGTCTTGGACAGAGGTCATGTACTTGCTGCATGCAGCATACGTGAAGAGACGGCCTGTGTGGCATACATGCTGCACTGCGCACATATGGCATATGCTGTATGGTTGTAAGAGCTGTGGAAGAGTTGCAAAAAGGAAAAAGAGAGGGGTGGGCAATGCTGTCACCGCTCACCTGTCTTCAACAAAGATAATTGTTTTGCATTTTAAAAGCTACCATACGACCCAGAATGGCGTACGGGGAAGTTGCAGCACACTGCGCCCAGCGCAGTATGCAGAACCAATATGGACTAAGTACCAAGTACTAAGTA